TTGTGCCAGTAATGTGCTCATGTTGATGTCCCCCTTCATCATTAATATTCTTTTACCTACAATATTTAGTACAGTTCCATTTCCGCACGACTTTTATGAGCAGAATGTTTTAAAAATACACGAAAAAAAACTTTCAACTCGTGAGTTTTATTGTGTATATAATAAAAAGCAGTCATCCGAAGTATCTCATTTTATTTTGAATAGGAAATATTCTCTCTGTGTCATTTTTCGCGATACTTCTGATGTCATTCTCATATTTTTGTCATCAAACAAAAATGCTTTTCGAGTTAAAATATTTAATTAAAATATAATTTAATTCAGTAACGACGTAAACGTGAGATTGTGTTTGTGAATTGCTCTACAATTTGCTGCTGATTTTTCAAACTCAATTGCTGTATAAAGAATTTGTTTAAACCTTATTTTTTTTGTTGATTCTCAATGCTTCGTTTTGTCGCATCAGCTGATGATGTCGATGACATAATCAAGATTGATGAGATATCAGAGGTTAAAAAAGATTAGAGAAAAAATAAATAAAACTGGTTTTGGGTTTGTATTGCTCATAAATTTGTAAACAAACAACATCTTGACCATGAAATTGTTGCATTCAAGTTTTTGCTATTTTGTAGATAAGTTATCAGTTGAATTGTTATCGATGTTTGGCATTTAAATTGATTAAAAATGAATAATACTTTTTGAGGTGGGAAAAAGTTTTAGGTTTGAATTTTTTCGTGAATTTTAAAATTTAAATGTTCGTTGAATTTTTATGAGAAATCAAATTTTTAAAAGTCGTTAAATCTGTAACCAAGTTTTTGAGTTTTTTAAAGAACTAATATGAAGTTCATTAAAATTTACGACAATAAACATCAAAGAGACGCTCCTATCACTGCAACCAAGTGACTCACATTCTCAAAAATTAATATTATTGTTATCAAAATAATTCAAACAATCAGCAAAAATATGCACATGATACACTTTCCGCCTTCTTATTATTCGTCGTTATGTTGTCGAAACTCTTAAGAAATTCATGAATAATGAAATATTTTTATGAATTCGAGTACATTTTTTTGTTATTATTGCTCGTTAAACAACTTATTCTAAATTGACGATGATTGAAATTATTCTTGATTCTTGCATTTTATGCGCAACAAAACACCAGAAAAGAATGAAGAAGAAAAGCATACAAAAAAAATACTAAATTGAAGTCAACTAACGGTGAATTAATCCAATTGAAATTTTGCTCATGAAACCGAAGCTATCACTCGCACGCATATACAATAGAATTTTAAAGTATCAACTATTTTTTTATGTATTTTTCTCCTCAATTCAATTCATCGTCAGCCGTCCTCGAATATTTGACAATTCATTTTATTTCCATTTTTCGCTGTATTGTTGAATATATTCACAAAATGCTAACATAAAGAAGGTCAAATGATATCAGTAGTGCTTCCCATGACAGTGGAATAGACATGCAGTGAAGGTTTTGTGGTTTTCAAGCTTAATCAGAAGCCTCACCAAAAAGTTGTTTGAATTTAGGTGATTGTGGCCCTTAGGTGGAATTTTTCATTGAATTTTATGGATTTCGGATTGATTTGTATGACTGTTGGGGGTAGATTTGATTGAAAATTCAGCTTATTCTTCTTGGTGAAAATTACGGATTTTTTTTAAATTGAATCCACCTCTCCCAGAGGCTCTTTCAATTCTGTGTCAAAAAAATCATAAAAATCTGTCAGAAAATCCCAATAAAATTTGCTTACGGGAGCAACAACAGAAGGAATAACATTCATTTTATTATATTAATAAATACTATGAATGAAATGGATCTTATAAGCGCATTTAAGTATCATTGTGAGAATCAACATTGTAAAATAAGATGGAAGAAAATTTAATTTACTGAATAGCTGAATGAAATTACGATAAAAAACAGTAAGGAGATATTTTCACATGTTTTATTTATAAATTTTAATGTAAAGAATTCCATATAAGCACAACATAAATAAGACAATCTACACAATAACAAAAAATAATGAGAAATGTTCTTGTCAGAGCCAACGTCAGAAAATCAGACCCTCAATGGGAAATTTTTCATAAAACTTCTGACTATGCCTCTGGTTTTTATCAATTTCAATTTCAATAAGGAGTAGAAAGAAAAAGTTATGCGCGTGAGGAAATAAATTGTGTCAATGCTCATAATACAGCAACAATGGAGAAAACGTTAACAGAATGTTAAAGTGTTTTTCAGTTTTGACCTCATCGCAGCGAATAACAAACAACAAACAGAGTATGGAACTCTGGTTAAATTGAGAACGTGTTTACGAAAAAAAAAATAAACGAGGAACTGAAATAAATTAATTTCCTTCTTGTCTTTCTATTCTTTTTGTATGGTAATGTAATGGAGCTGTTGAGTAATGGGAGATTGGGGGAATATATTAAAGGAGGATTGGTGGACGATGGAGTGATTTGAGATGAATGAACCTTGTTTATTTGAATTGAAATAAACTTTTGAATTCAAAGTATGAAGTTTCAATCAAAAGTCACAACTTTTCTTATCATTTCTATTTCAAATCTCTCAAAAACCACAAGTTTTAAACAAGACTTCCACAATCCAACGAACCACAAACTCAAACAACCCAAAAACTAAATTCTCTAGAGATCAAAAGTTCAAAAAATAATTTTTTCAGAAATAATTAAGTCGCAGCTGACCCAAAAAGAGCAACAAAATGAATATTTAAACATCTTAAAACCCAAAAAAAAATCCATGTCATCTTCATTTCCATTTTTCAACAATGTAATTATACAAAAAACAAAAAGAAAAGAAATTGAAACTGAATGTACAATTATTAGCAGATTCTCTGTCAGCTGACATAAAGAAGAAGTCATTTTCAGTTCATATTCGTCAACATGTTGAGAGATTGCCATCGTTTTAGATTACAAAATATAGATATAGCTTGTGCCATGTGTTGATGCGCCTTTTGTTGTTTATTCATGCTCTAATGGAATTTGCTGTTCATTTTTATTATTCTCTTTACCCTTCATAACTTCATCATTCAGCTAAAGCATTGAAGGTTCAACTTTTTTTTTTGGAAACATCTCACTTTGTGTTATTTTTTTGTGTTCTTTATGGAAAAAAGGGCGATGAGCAGTGAACTCAATCGAGCGATTCTTTAATCACTTTTTTTGTGCTTATGCTTTGCATTTTTCGGGTGCTGGAGAGGAAGTTTTGTCAGAATTTTCCATAGTATCAAGTTTTTGTATAGATCTTTAAAGTTTTGTACAAATTTGAGGCATTTTGAGTTGATTATTAGTTCAAACTTTTCAAAATTCTAATTTGTAAGTCAGCAATCAACCAAGAAACTTAACTTTTTCAATTCAACTCTTAGCATAGCATCTCAATTTCTCTGAATAAATTCTAACAATTCTTTACAAGGAATTTCTTCATCACGGATCGCAAATGGAATTTCTTTTGTAAACAATAAAACAAAAAAAAACTTCTTCTTAACCCTCAAAAAAAAAGGGAAGAAAGAAACAAGCGGAAGAAGAAGAAATTACTTCTTTCCACTTTTGTGTCGCCTTTATTTTTAGAAATAGAATTAATTTTTATGATTCATGAATCAGCTATGATGTATTCACTCATCTCTCATCCACCATAAATTTCTCTAAATTGAAAAAAATGTTGTAAATCGCTGTGTTAATCCTTAAACATTAGAATTGTAATAAAAAAATATAAATAATTTTTTTTTAGCTTAATCTTCTTTTGGGGGTTTGTTTTTAGCTTCTTCCTGATCTTTTCTGAATTTCATTTTGTGTCTTTAAGTTTGCTCTTTTAGAATTCCACAGTTAAATTTTTTTTTTTGCTAAGAGTTTATTAAATTAAACTCTTATTGTTGAAATAGACTGGCAGCTATGTTTTGACTAAACACAAGAGGAACAACTTATGTCAAGTACTTGTTTAATATACTCGAAATTGGGATTGCTATGAATGATGATGAAATGTTTTGAGAATTTTGTTGAAGCTTAAATGAAATGTATTTTTGCATCAAAAGATGCAGAAATTTAGCATCAAAAGAAGCAGAGCTCTAGCATCAAAAGAAGCAGAACTTTAGCGTCAAAAGAAGAAGAACTTGAGCATCAAAAGAAGCAGAATTTCAGCATCAAAAAATGCAGAACTTTAGCATCGAAAGACACAGAACTTTAGCACAAAGAACTCTAGCATTAAAAGAAGCAGAACTCTAGCATCAAAAGAAGCAGAACTCTAGCATCAAAAGAAGCAAAACTTTAGCATCGAAAAGAAGCAAAACTTTAGCATCGAAAAGAAGCAGAACTTTTAAGAAAATAAGAAGGTAAACGTTAGATCCCAAAACACGAAACTTCAACATCAAACAAAAAGTACTTATACACATCAATGACGTCAAGCCATCCTCAACATAGCAATTTTCTTCACAAGTGACGCAAAGAAGCATCATCAAAATGAATTATAAATAAAGCTCCCACCAGAAAAAGGCACACGAACGTACTGAAAATGTACATAATAATTGCGTATGATAGCATAAAGAGTCAGAAAGCTGATTTGTCATGTCTCGTTTCCCTAAGATGGCTGAAATTTATGGATGAGAGGAGAAATATTTTCAAGTATTCAAGTACCGTACTTAAAGATTATTTCCGCAAAATTTACCAAGATCATAATCTGAGATATTTTTTTAGCATATATTATCTTTATTAGAGTATTAATTAACATATATAGAGAATATTACGTGACAACCAGCCTCATGTATCGCACCCATGACAGTAAATTTTAATTTTTATTGCTCCTCTATTTTTTTTTTGTTTCGGCTTTTATTTTGTACTTTTGTGGAATAAAGATTGTGAAACTTTTTAACACATTTTACCCTCCTCAAAAATTTTTACTCGTCTATAGATATATTCAGCCTTTAATGAGTTTTATGCTTTGAGGGAAATGAGAAAGGAGATTAAAAAAGAAACTAATTAAAGTATCTTTACAGTGACTAGACAAGGCCTTGAAGATTTTCATCTTGTCGCTGATGATTAAAGATAAAAATATGAGTAGCAAAAAGAGTTGGCGTAATTAGATTGGATGGGATAAAAATACCCCAAAAAAATATGACAAAATCATTGCTCAAAGCATGAAAATTGAATTCAATTCAATGTGAATTTTGGAAGCTAAACAAACGTGAATAAATTGAGGAACCAGAAATAGAATTACGGTCAAATTACTCCAAATGTAACTGGATGAGCCCATTAGCCATATTCTAATTATTTGACCTTTTATCATCCTTCCATTGACCGATTTGTGAAACGGTTTTAATGACATTACGTTTATGGGTTAGTCATTACACCTTGTTTTACGTCAGACTGCTTAATTTTGGTTTAAATGGATTTGAATGGTTTGGGGTCGTTAAAGATTTACCCAATGTGGGGGCTAATGCTTATTATCTGGTTTTGAAAATGAGATTTGAATGAAATTCTTTAGGTGCTTTTTAGAGAGGGGGGGTGGGGGGGGGGGGGGGGGGAGGAAGTATGGTACAGCGTTTAGAACATCCAAAAGATCCATAATCAACCGATTATAAATTTTTAACTGAAGTTTCTATTTAATTGAATATTCAATTAAAACCATTAAAATTTCCAAATCAGTCTATAAAATAAAGAAAGCCCCAATAAACCTCATAAAGAATTAGAAACTATAAAATATTTGATTTAAGAGATTTGATCAATTAACAAATTATTTTACTACTTAAATTACCAATATTGATTTCTTCAATTTCTCCATCCACAATTCCATAAAAATCAAAAAATTCACCTTCTTTAAAAATCTAATTTCTCCATTCAGTCAAGTTTAATCCATAAAAAAATTGATAAGTTTTAAAAAAAAATATTTCATAATATTTTCAATAATAGAATGAAAGCATAAAAGATTAGATAACAGCGACTCAATGTGCCTTTTTATATCACTGAGCACAAGAAATGAAGTCAAATGTCGACCCAGGAAATAATTTTATTAAAAGACATTATTTTCTATGTCAAAAGACCAAGAGATAGAGATACGCAGGGACTTAATAAATGTCGAACATAAATAGCATAAAATTCAGGAATGAAACAAAAATCTCGCCTGATTGATTTTCAATAAGAAAATAAATTCGTAATTACTTTAGCTCAATGAACTAGTTCAAAAAGCAGACATGAAAAATTTAGTCTCTCTTTATTTTTGGCTCTACATTTATGTGAGCTGAAGTGGCTCGGTGGCGGAATGGTTTAGTACTTCGGTACCTAATTATTGCAATACCGACACAGCGATCATGGGTTCGAGACTGGGTATGGGAAATTTTTCACTTGTCCTTTTTCGAATCATATGCACTGGAAATGAGGCTCACAGCCTTCCTTTGTAGGCTACAGACAGAAATGTCATCAAAGGAGTGGTTCGGATCCCACTATAAATTGTAGGTCTAGGTTTGAGTGCAGTGATTTGGCGCATCCTCACTCGTTAAACTCACATTAGCTGCGAATCGCCCTAGCGCACCTCTGGATCACAATTGATCTGAATAGGTAAAGGTTTTTTTTTTTTTTTTTTTTTTTTTTCTACATTTATGCAGTCTCATTGACATTTATGGCAATCGACGTTTATTGACCTTCTATGGTTGGACTTGCTAATGTTGATCGATCAGATAAAATTGAAATTACATTTAGATAAATCAATATAAACCGATTATGGATATTTTGTGAATTTCTTATCGCATATTTTTAAAAATATTTATTTTGTAGTAAAAACAACATTTGCTTACTCGGGTACCGTAAAAAAAGTTTTTTATATGACACGCTTTTTTATCATCAAATTCCTTCTTTTTCTGTCCAAATTGACACGATTACGGTTGGAAAAATTCGACATATCGAGGTATCAATCTTGTTCGAGGGAAATTTAGAACTTTATCAATAAAGATAAACCGTAATTTTGTGTATTGGGCGCATCTGGATAACAATGAATTATTCCTTGTTGAATCTTAAAGGCGCCTCTAACTTTAAACAGAAAATAATATTTGAGTCAGAATTCCAATAAGATTCAGATTTATTCAGCGTGTTTATGTAAAATTATTCATGAAAGCAATAACAGTCGATTGATATTAGAATATCCTTTCCATAAACCTGCTGTTAAACCTTTAAGCTATCAGATTCTTATTTGAAAATTTTGAAATTTCGCGATTCTTATTTTTGATTTTTGGGTTTATAGCTTATTATTTGGAATATTTTAGGGTTCTGGAGTTTAGGGAATGACGTAGCAAGTAGATACGATTCTCTCAATTGAGAAGTCCAAAAAATCAAATTTTTGTATCACTTCCATTAAGTCACGTTATAGCCTCAAAATCCATTAAATTTTCACTCAACTCATCAAAATTTTTCCACTCTAAAAATCCCCAATTAATTCAACAATCAAAAAACCCACAATCTCAATCATCCAGACAATCTGAGTTTAATGTCCCACTTCCTCCGTACGTAGCTAATACAAAAAAATCACTACAAAACAATTTTTTGCACTCAATTTGACATGCATTTGTCGCTAAAAATAACAACAAAAATAAAATTGTAACTTAAAACATCTCAAATTTCACACACTCAGTCAGTGTAGATTTCTGTAGATACATAAATGACAATTTAATTGCAATATTGGATGACTTCAGACTCGACAATTTCCGTCTGTTTTTGAATCAAATAAAAGAGTCTCATTCGATATTAAATAAATAATGAGAAAAAGTCTTGAGTAAATAGAGAGAAAAACTGGGATAACAGCTGTGGATGTGTATATAGGATGTGAATCTTATTCTATGTGAAATCTCAATTACAATGAGTGCCGATTGATTGAGATAGAGTCTACACATAAACGCAATAGTTCAGTTATTTTTAGACACTGATGAAATCATGATCCACTAGATGATGAATGAAGTGCCTGCATTTAGATTTTTTTTTTATGTCAGGAAACATCAAATTGTATTTACATTTAAAGAAAAATACACAGAAATAAAGTACATCACAGGTGGGAACATCCTTAACACATCAACAGGATATAATAAAAATTCGGAAATGAATTTTATGTCGTCACGCATACACACATACCCACAAAAGAATTTTTAAGTTTCCCTTTATCCTATTTACCTCCTTGTCATGTATTCATATCCACATGAGACACATATATCACAAAAATAGAGGAACGGAGAAAAACTTCTTTCTTTATTGGCTCAATACACTGTACATGTACAACTAGACATATACAACATAAGATAGGACATAAATAAATTCTTATATCTTATGAGACGTGTGTGCATTTGCCATGGAAATAAGGAAAGCAAAAAGGGCATATAGGAATTTTTGTCATCTGCCGCATGTAGTGTTATGCTTGCTTTGCTGCATTCAAAAGGGAAAGGATGAGTAAAGGAATTTTTCTACACGCTTTTGTTTGACTTTGCCATGTCTTTGTAGTGGTTGTTATTGTTATGAATGAGAATCTTTAAAGTAATTATTCATGCACTTGGAATTTATGAATTGACTAGAAATTTTCGCACACTTGTTTGCTCCGAATTTATTTTTAAGAAACTGCTAGTTTACGTTTTGTTTGAAGTATTTTTGTTGGATATTTCATGTTAAAAAGTTATGATATGAAAAATACATGAGAAAATGATATTCAATCCAATGTCAATAATGTATTTTTTTTTTCAAATTTCATAATTTTTGTAACTTTAAATTAAATCTAGATTAGTCCAGATTATCTCATATTTCCAACTTACTTCACAACACAAATAACCAGAATTCACTTCCTTATCACATCACAATTATCTCAAAGCCTTCCACCTAAAAGTTTTACATTTTTAAAAACATTTTCATCCTTTCACTGTTATCAGTAATGCTAAAATCTCTAAAGAAAAGAGCATTATCATGTATGTAGAACTAAATATTAAAGAAGGATGAAGTCTGCTTCAACAAACTTTTACTTTCAACGTCAAATCGATTACCCCTTTTTAAGAATTCAAGACATTCATGGCTCAACATGAGAAACTTACGATGAGAATAATAAAAGAAAGAAAAAAAATTATAGACACTCACCAGTATAATGTGATGATTCTCTTTATCCAATAAGAATTCCATACTTTTGTGTGGTCTACCACGTTCACTATTATTGCCACAATTATTAATATTTGTATCAACATTTTGCATCACTTGCACACCACCCATACCCGCAATACGATTCATTATTCCACTACGATTTGTATTATGATTTTGCCCAATTCCCAACTCCATAAGACTTTGTGTCTTGCCATTTATTATTGTCTCGTCCGTATCTAAATTTGTCTCAATTAAACCGATTTTATGTCCACTATCCATGGTTCTGGCTCGATCCGTATAATACTGCTGCTTCAGTCCATTGCCAATCATGTTCTGTTGATAAAACTCACCATCCTCGTATTCCCGTGGTGTAGATGATGCTCTCGGTGCCTGCGCATTAGGTCGTTTTGTTGTAGTACCGACAATACGAGGTGGTTGCTTCGGCAAGGGTGGTTTTCCCATTACCTGATTTGTTCTCGGTGGTGATTCACGCTGTTGCTTGTTCATCGGACGCGATTGACGATCAACTGATATGACAGCAGCATCTGGCGATGTTATTACCACCTCAACGTTATTATTATTATTGTTGTTGTTGTTATTTTGCAACTTTTGATGTAAATCTGATGCTAATTTATCATTCTGTGGATTGAAAATTCTCACATTATCATTTGGATCTTTTAGCGAAATATAAACAAAATCGCCAATGACTGTTGATTTTGGAGTACATACTTTATTCTCAACACTCTGTTGTGGCTGTTGGGGTGGTGGGAGGAAATGCTTTTCATTAGCATTGCTATTATTATTCGTTTCAACTGGATAATGTACGACACCGTCACTCACAATTTTCTTATTCTTTTTACCGCGAAATGAGAATCGAAAACCGGACGAAATACGCGAGAAAATTGATTTTTTGGGTTTTGAACTTTTATGTGATTTCTCATTGACAATTTTCTGCGGAACTGTCGTGAGAGATTGCCCAGTAACTTTTGTATCCATTTCAACAACACCAGCTGATTGACATTCAGCCGTAATTAATTTTTCACTTGGTGTTTGCGTCTCAACGAGCATTTTATGACTGATGAGCGATTTATTTAATTCAACAATTGCTGAATGCTCCATTGTTTCATTGTCTACATGTGTTGATGCTTTATTTTCAATGATCGGTTGTGTTGCTTCATTACTTTCATGATTGTGTGAATGTTGCACTTCATTTATTTGTATTGGTGTTGTATCAACATGATCATCATGTGTTTTTACATGAATATTTTGTGGTATTAATGTTGTTGACGTACCGACCGCACGAAAATCATCAAAATCTTCCTCATCATCATCATCGTCATCATCGTCAGTATGATTTTCTTCATTGTTGTAGTAGTTAACGAGTGAATCATTCCGCATTCCCTTAAAATTATCGCCAGCTGATGGGTCCATATCGACATCATCGGAAAATTCTTCTTCATCATCGTCATGGCTTATTTGCCAACTTATTTCACTAACAATTGGACAGAAACTCACAGACAATCCACTTCGTGAGCCACCCGTAGAATGTGATGCGAGAATTCCTGTTGAACTAGTTCGTGAATGTGATGATGGAATTTCCTTCATTGATGTACATCGATTCTCATCGCTTGTTCCAAATGACGGGTCGAGATGATCGACACTTAATGCTGTATTGTCTATTGAACTATAATGCTGAACGTGACGCATCTCAAAATCAAAATAATTCAAATTGGGCGTACTCGATACAAAGTTTCGCTTATGTACGGGTGATTGCAGGTCATCAGATTTCGGTGCATCATTTATATCCGGCAGGTAGATATTTTGACGGGAACTATAAACATTAATTGGCTCATCAACATTAAAATTACACTTTTCTAGACTCTGTGTGTATGTAGTTTTAAGATTTGTTGGATCTTGATCGAATGTTGACTTTTTCGTTGTCGCTGAATGATTCGGACTTGTCTTAATTTGAGTTCGCGCTCTTGGCGGTGGTTTTGGTGCTTCTATTTTCTTCTCATCACCATTTTTACTGCTATTTATTTTACTTAAATCATCTCTAACATCAGTCTGTGGTTCAAAGGAAGCCTCACGATCATTTAAAATTGATAAATTCTTATTAAAATGCGCTGATATCTCTTCAAGTAGTGACGTTAGCTCCTTACTACGATATGTTGCAATATAATCCTCGTCTTCCTCGTCATCACTGTTATACATTGGTGGTGGTGGCATTTTACTCATTGTTGATGTTTTTGTGCGATTTATTGGCATCAATTTGTGAGAATCATAACAAAAATCAACTGTGGGATCGTCTGAATAATTTAACAAGGTCAAATTAGCACAACTTGCTGATATATCGACCTTTTGTCGACTCGAAACCGAACTCGGACCGTAATTTAAATCAAATAGGTTAACGTTTTTACTCGCAACGGTATCACACGTGATGTCTGGCCAGGAATTTTCACGATCTATAGATATTAAATTTAAATTTTCAGGCACACTTGAAATGCAACAAAAGTCACGAAATTGATCACTTGATTGACGAAAATTTCTTTTGAGTTTTAAACGCGCACCCTTTCTGGAATTGTCACCGTTCTCATAGAGCTCCGGTGAGCTGATGGAAATGAATTTCTCGCGCTGAATTTCGAACGAATGCCGTGAATTTTCCGTCTTATTTATAACCATCGTGTTGTGTTCGTTTAATCGTTGCTCCTTCGGCGCATCTATTTTTAATTCACGACGTTGTGATGATGTCGTTGTTGTAGCTGTAACTGCAGAAATGAGCGACTTAGAATCTTCAATATTCATCTCAATTTTGCGGGATTTAAATTTACGATTTAGACTCTCCATGCTGTGATAGCATATGTCATCGTCATCATCATCCTCGGAGTGACTACGGATACGTGAATTAAGCGATAAATTACGCATTTGATTGAGACCACTTAGGATGCTCTTTTCCTCAATAACACTTCCGTCTTCGTCCTCTAAATCGTTACTATTTGGTAATGAGGAATCAAGCGAGAAAGCACAATTAGGCAATGACCGAATATCACGAATATCGCAATATCCCGAATCTTCACTCAAACTATCAATAGAATTCTTTGCACGAAAATTAGGCGATGATCTCTTTTTATTCTCACTTGATTTGCTTATTACTGGTGTATTAGGCTTACTATCAGACGATGCTGTCGATGATGAGGATGATGATGAGAGTGATGAATCATTTGGCTTCTTCTCAACTTGATGTAATTCACAATCGTCACTTGAAAAGCTTCCACTTGTACTACCACTGGAATATGGCTCAGAATCGGAATTTGTAAATTGTATTCCACTCGACACAACAGTCACAGCTGTTATTGGTGGGGGATTTGTTATTTTAATTGTGGGCAAATTAATGGCTATAGGTGCAGACTTTTCGATAATCTCTTGATTATTAAGTACTGTGCCGTTGCTACAATTTGTATTGGCACCCTCGTACGAGTATATTGACGGTGATGATCCCGATATTTGTGTATCGTTCTGAAGTTGTCGCTCTAATGATTCGAATTGTATTAGCGACGATGAGCGACTAAGTGATGTATAGGATAGACGATCAGAGTCTGAGAAGAGTTCAACGCCCAATTCATCGAATCGGTACCTGTGGAAGGAAAGAAATTCAATTATTTTCGTGATCTAACATGATTATTAAAAGACAGAGATGGATAATAGAATGTGAAAAAAGTTTTGTATAATTATTGAAAGCAATTTTAATTAGATGGATTGTTTTGGGAGAGATTAACTTGATTTGGATGCATGAGTTTTAAAATCTCATAGATATCCCAATCGACTGATATCCCAATATCTGTAGTAATGCTTAGTATAAAGCATTAGCGGCTTCACAAAAAAAAATCCAATTGACATCAATTGTGTGCCGCCTATCTTAAATTAAACTATTTGCCTAGCTCTTAAGGTTTGATTCACAAAAGCCACTAGTACAAGTCCCAACTCCAAGAAAATCGCGCTACGATTAAAACCTATAAATCCACACAAGCTTCAGTTAGCACGAAAAAAAATGAATTAATTAATTATGGTGATTTCAATTTCTACAATCTCGTTTAATGTCTTTCATTCGCATTACTCTGTGTATTTTCGAAATAAAAGAATAACAGCAAAGCGCGGGCACTGCTATTATGTATACGCCAAAAAAAGAGCAATACGAGTGAGTGAGATGAAACATCAAATGAGAAAATTAACTGAAAGAGTGAGTGAGTAGTTCATATACGGCAAAATGCAAAGTGAAGTGTATTTGGAGCACAACGCACACATCGTTTTTTTAGCGTGATTATTGTAAACAAAAAGATATGAGATTAATTTGTTGCATTTTTGTTGTGGTAAGTATGTCAGGCTGTCATCCTGTCAATTTTAATGTGGCGATTGATTTTTCGGAGATTGTGAAAGGGCATTGATGTGGAATAAGAAGAGAGCTTAACCCCCTGTGGTTGACTTTTTACAAAGTTTGTGGTTGATTTGTAGCATTTTCTATCGTTAGTATGATTCAATAATCTTTGGAATGCCTTACAACGTTCTATATTTAATGGACGACCAAGCAATCCCCATAGAGCCTCCTTCCCTCAAAGAAAAATGGATATTTAAAATTTTCTACCACTTCATCACACCATTCATAATTCGTGCACCAGATGGTAAACAAAACATGCAAGCAAGCCACTTTGAATAATTTTCACATAAAAAATGCGTTAATTGCAGCTATAAATTTGTATGTTTAAGCATTTAAACTTGAATTTTTACATCTCGCTGTGTGAATTTTAAAACAAAATATGAAAAACGTGAACCTGTGGAGGCTGAGAATCAATTAATAGTAAATTTCGCTTTGGTAACTTAAAAGTTTTAAGCTCTTTTTAGTTTCATTCAAATTGATTAACTTGCAGAAATGATTTTATAGACGAATTTGGTGCTGTAAAAATATTTTTCTTTCAGTTTGTCTATTTTAGAAATTTTTAATTAATGATTTGATATTTTAATGTAATCGTCGGACAATGAGAAAGTCTTTTTTTTTCTGGCAAAGCTTAGCGGCAAAATCTAATCTTAATATAGTAATCATTTTTGTCTGCTTTGGAGGTATTTGCGTGACTATTGTTTTTTGAAGGTATTGAATTTCATTTGATATTGTTTGGATATAAATCTGATGTACATATAAGGATTGATGCAGATCAATCATCGCTTTTGACAGAGTTTGGCAACTTTTGTTGAGGTTTGGTTATCTGATTTTTATCGGAACTGATAGAATTGAGTAAAAATGTTACAAAACTTTTGAATTAGAAATGGCATCAAATGGAATTGCTTACAAATGATGCCAAATCATTTATAGAAGAAAGGGCATGAGCTAGCGTCTTGCTATACCTGACGATAGCTTATATAACCTATTCAAATAATTAACCTAAAAATACTCCATAATAATAGCTTTAGATGATTAATCCATGAGTACCCAAGGCATGTTGCCGAGAAAAAAGCGAGAAATCAAGTATTGAAGTAAATCAAGTATTAAAAATTCAATTTATTGATAGACGTCACTTATAAACGACCCCCTAATGTAACAGAAGTTAAAAACCAAAAAGAAATGAACACTGAATAGAAATTTAGATTTTTTCATTCAAAAACCACACAAAAAAGTGAACTTTTCTTACAGAATATAAATTAATTTTGTAAACAACTTAGGCGCCAGATTAACATAAATATCACTGCCTTAATTACTTATTATTCTCATCTCAAACCTTTAAATTTTCTGAATCAATTTTAATTACTAACTTTTTACTTTATTGTCACACTTTTGTTCATCAAAAAACCACAATGAATGCCTTCAAAAATGCCACAAGCTTCAAGCATTTATTGCTCGTTATCAACATTATTAGATAAAATTCCAAATATTTTTTTGGTAAATATTTATTTTAACCATTTACAGACACAACTATCTAGAATTTTTCATTTGTCATATGTCAATTAATAATCCAGAACTTTAAGTCATCATAAGACTCGACTAGTAAATTAATTAATTTATCCAGCAAGTTCCGATGACCCATTTGCACTCTTTTTTGTATGTTAATTTAACAAATTTTTTTATTTCTTTTGATCTTCACTCAGAGCAACTTCAACTCGTGTACATTTCATGTTTTAAAATGTACTTCATTTTAATTAACATTGTATCCATGACATTCTCATTCATTTGTAAAACTTCACTTTATTTTTAATCCAATTTCGTAGAAACAAAAATTTTATTTTCATTCATTCCGGTGACATCCGAAACTATTCAATAAATAATAACAACTGTTTAATTTTTTACACATTTTTCATCTCTCCGCTTACGACTATCATCTTACATGAGTGTGTGTATTAATAAACAAAAACAAAAAACAGACTAAAGTGACATTTTATTCATCAGAATGAAGCTATTTGGGCATGTGAGTATGCCTGGAGTTTTTATAGATGTGGACGAAGTAAGGCTTGGAATTGATGGAATTAAAGGATGAAGAAGAAGAGATTGGCAATTAATTTATTTGATTTTTAGAGAGCAAGCTATGGACATTTGGACAAAAGTTTTGTTTGTATGGGATTAGGATTGTGGCTAGGATGCTGGGGCTTGATAGAAATTTGTAACCTCCGACCCCAACCTTCATAAATTTTTGATTATATTCCTAGTTTTAAGCCAATACAAAAAGAGAGCTTTGAGGTCCCTGTCTACCTGTTCCATGGCATTCAGGCATTTGCATCTAAAATGTAGCACAAAGTCCATAGTTTAAACCTTAAAAATACCTAAACGACTAAGAATATTTCCCAAAGCCAACGCCAACTCAATCTCAACATTCCAACCTATGGAAATACACATGTATGCACGAGTATGCACATATTTGTACAGTCTCGAGTACAATAGTAGCCTGCTTTGTTCAAGCCACTCAGACTATTCAGAGTGAAAATTCTCAGCGATGCGACACTCCGAAGTGCTCCCTGCTACTCAACAATAATTAATGAGATTCCTTCTTTCTTTTTGGTCTCTTTTTAAGAATATATTTAAAAATAGCTATTTTGATGCACAACAACAACAAATAAAAAGATGTAAGAAGAATCAAAATGCATCTCAACGACCCGGGAATTGTCATTAATCATGAAAAATAGGGAAGAAAACTTAACCGCACTTCCGTTTAATTGGAGATAATTAAAATCACAACATGTAAATTCTTTCCACGTCAAAAAAAAAAAGAAGTGAGGAAAATTAAGTGAAGTACAAAACAAACATAAACACTCACTTAGTTCTTTTACTATAAACTATGCACTAAGATAAAGCTAAAATGCTTCACAGCGTGAATATTTTTTTTATGGATTTTTCTCTAATTTTTCCTGCTCAATTGCGAGTATGAAAATCTAAAATTAACTGGAGAAATGGGGTTAATAGAGGAATGAGTATATGAATAGAGTTCCTATTTGTTTTCAATTTTAATGACATTTCCTCTGAATACAAAAGTAAGGAAATTGGTGGGTAGATTTAACTGTCGATGGATTTAATTACATGGAAGATTAATTGAGCAGTTTGATTAAATATTTTGGGAATTGAACATTGATTTTCGTGGGTGTGGCTGACAAAATGATTAATTTCTAGGACTGCATCCTCAACTATGTTATTATGCACATTCATAGTCTTAGACACAATATATGTGCGATCAAGAATTTATCATTTTTGTTGCCAAACATTTAAAGATGAAAATGAAGCTTTGGTGGAATCAAAAAACAAATAAATCATTAGACTCAACAAACACCTGAACCCTCATCATGTACCGCTCGGGCCACATTGCAATAATTTCACTTACTAATGTTCCTTGCCAAATCCACCTCATTAACCGCCCATAAAACTCTTTTACCATGACAATATGCCGACTTAGACACACCTGATTCCCAAAATGTGGCATAAAAAATTTAATACACGAAATAATTTTTTTTCCATAACTTCCTCTCACTAGCTTATTCTCTATTAACTAGTAACATTAATTGCCAAAAACTGTCATAACAAATGTCTGAATCACATCAAAATTTTGTTCAAATACTTTAAAAATTTCATAAAAGAAAAGTCAGTAATGCCTTATGTAAAGGTGACTTGTAATGTATTTTAAGTAAGCGAAATAATGAAATAGAAAGAAATATGAAGACATGATTTTCGACATGAATTCGCACATTATTTGTTATTTGAAAGTGTTTTTTTAGTGCGCGATTATGAGAAACAACATAAGGCGGAGTGTGATGGTCATTATTAGTCTACAGTATGTGGTTATTTAGACTATTGGGTCGGAAAAGGGGAATTTTTCAGAGTCTGGAAAAGTTGACTGTCAAAAACTTTTAAATGAAGGGAGAGGGGGTGGGGGGACTTTACGAAATACTTAATAAATGCATAGAGATAGCTTAAATAGTTACAAGTGTAGCCCGATTATTGATAGACAGCCTCATCAAAAGCACAGTAAATCACACAAAATTATGAACTTTTGGTATTTTCAACAGCTTTTTAGCAACTTTCCTCCATAAATTTTAATCCGCAAGCAGCCCAATCAACAGCAGTTCCATCAAACTCAATATCCACAACCCATTCAGTCCATAAAACAT